TGCAGCGGCGGCCGGGGCCCGGGTGGGGGCGCGTGCGGGCCTGCTCTTTCCCGGAGGCCTCGCTGGGGGCCCCCAGGGTGGGCGGCGCTGTGGAGAAGGAGAGAGCGGGCCCTGTTCCTGGAGGGCGTGGGGGGGCGGCGGAGAGCGCCCAGGGGAGCGCGGCTGGTTCACTCGGGGGAGGGAAGGCTTCGAGAGAAGAAAATGGCGCTTGGTGCAAGTCCCTCCTCTTCCCACACGGTCTCCTCCGCACTTCGCCGCCTCCCACGCCCCCTCCGACCAGCCTGGCCCCCCCGCCCAGGCCATTGCCAGCCTTGGGGTTCTAGCAGCTTCCTGGCACCGCGCGACCCCCTGCCCCGTCATCGTGCTTGTCACCCACGTGTTGTACCAGATTCGTGTCTCTTAGTCCTAGTTTATTTTCACCTCGTCTTTCCTCAACCTCCCTCCCCCACGCCTTCAGCAGAGACCGAGGATTCGCGTTTCTGGTTGCGTTTTGTGTGTTTTCTACACCAGCGCTTTTAGTGTCATTTGCCAGAATTACGAGCCTGCCTTTTTCTTGAACAGTAAAGGCTCGTTAAGTAAAAGTAAAAATGTATTTTGTCAGAAGTTCAAAGAGGCTGGCCTTGGTTACCAGTACCTTGTGTTCGTGTTGAATGGACTTATTTGGATTAAATATGAGGTGGTTCTTTGAAATGGTCTTAAGCCCCCGGGCACCTTTTATTAACAGACGGTGTAGTTATGCTCGACCGTTTCGAAGTGAAAAATAGGTTATGTCCGCTTTAATTACCTTTAAATGTGTCTTGGCATTGTTAGCAGCCAGCATAAAAAACAACTAAAATTATTTTGGAGGTTAAGTTGTAAAACGGAGCGGTGACGGGAGTAATGTATAAAACGTGGTTATGAAGTTGCTGCTCCCTTCTGAATTTACTGTTCTCATTGTGAAGAAATTAACCAGTTAAAATTAACGTGGCTGGATTGGGTATAGTTTGAGCTTTTTGAATTTATTGGCTAGGATTGGGATGGCCCACTTCTTTTACCTTGACCTCTTATTGTGGAACACGTTGAATGCCAGTGCTAATGCAGGTTTAGTCTAGAGAGCTAGATTTTTTATGATTTTTTGAAGAGAAAATGAAGTCTTTTTTTCCTTTATTCAGGAGATAATGACGTCTTTTTTTCACTTTATTCAACAAGCATTTACAGAGTGTGATGTGTATATTGGGGCCTTGAGGGCATACGAAAATTAATAGGACTCAGGGTCTTCTGCATTCGAGATGGAAAGAGCAAAAGATACTTTGATAAGTGTTTTACCACATGGTATTGTCTTAAAAAGAAGTACAGCATGCGTTGGAATTCCTTGAAATTTGAGATTTAGGCTTTTTTTAAATCTCTGCGAATATAGAGGCACCAGACTCTTTGCCTTGCCCTCAGGCACTCAGTAAACATCCACTTGAAAGCAAGGTACTGGGCTATGTACCTCTATGTCTGGGGGTACCTGGGGCACTAGGGTCACAGTAGAAATTTGAGGAAACAGTTTGTACTTCCCATAAGCAGATTCTTTCAGTTTTAATCATATTCCAGAGTAGAAAAATCAATGTAAAATGTAATGAATTGTGAATTTTGTATAACTTCTTGAACTCAGATTTAGTACTTGTTATTTCGATGGCATGGCCCAAAAGCCAAAGAAAATTAAGAACATATACAAAATATGAAAACATAGGGTTAAATGGCAAAATTAGACATCAACATCTGTGTAGTACAGCTGTGTGCCATGTTGTGTGAATGTTGGGGTTAGTTCCGCAGCGAATAATTCTACATTAAGTCTCATCAGTGAGAAGTGCAAAGCAGTACTGAGTAGAATTATTCATGTTTCTTCTGGTTTTAACAGTGATTGCTGTCAGCTGCCTTGCATTCTACCCTACCCATAAACATCTAACCCCACTAAAATGAAGTATAAAAAGGCCCATTGGGTTCCAGAAAGATAGAGGTGTAGGAGTGTGAGATGTGTATGACATTTAGTTCTCTCTCTCTGCTGGGTTCAGAACGTTTCACTCTGCTTGTTATTTTCAACTTGGAAGAGCATAGATTGAGTATAACTTCCAGCACTGTGCTCAGTGTAATAACTCTAGTACCACAAAATGGTAGAATGAGCCATGGAACTTATTGAATTTTTGATTGGGGGAGAGTTAAGTTGAAGGTAATAGAGCAATTTGTAAATTGTTTACATAATGTATTTTTCTTACAGAATGCCTAAATCAAAGGAACTTGTTTCTTCAAGCTCTTCTGGCAGCGATTCTGACAGTGAAGTTGACAAAAAGGTGACTATACTGTACCAAGTCAATTTTGTGATAAATGAGCCATATTGCCCACATTCAGTTCTGAAGGACAGTAAAAGGCATATCAGAATCTTAAAATAAGAGCCTAGATGTGACAGTGCACATGGCCCCTGGACCACTTGACCAGAAGTGCCTAGCATGCTTGTTGTTTGTGCACCCCCTTAGCCCATAAGTCAGACTTGAGCAAGTCTTCAGACTTCAACAAGTCTTCTGTTGAGGACTTTTAGGAACCCTAAAGCTTCAGAACCACTGCCTTAGACTCTAGGGGAATAGCATTAGAATTAGGCCAAAGCCACAATTTGCCATTATTTAGAAATCTGCCTGATCTTAAGGTATTGTTTGTAGTAGATGGGCCAAATTTTGAACTCCTTGAATGCAGGTGTTAATTTTGACAGCCTTCTTAGCCGATGGTGTTTATCTAACCCACAAGGATTACTTAAAATGTAAGTTTGGTACATTTTAAGTTAGAATGTTATTTACTCAGGTCCCCTCCATTTTGTTATTTGCTATATGTTGAACACCTAGCAAAGCAAACATGAAATTACCTATTTTGACAGCATAGGCTTTTTCTGCGTTAGGTGACGTGCACTGTAAGTGCTGCATTCCGCTTGAACCGAGCATCTTGCCCTGTTGTCAGGGCCTCCTTCCATGAAGGAACTGGCTTATCTTTCATATCCTAGAAGCTTATTTAGTTGTGTCCCTGAGCTTAGTTAGCAGTGTTAGTTAAAAAAAAAAAAGAAAACTTTTGGGAGAATCTTGGAGAAGATGGACCGTTATAGGGAAATACAAAATGTAATATCACCTGAAAGGTTGAAATAAGGCTTCAAAGAGCAAACATAGCTATACTTGAGAAGGAAATCACTTAATTTTTTTCTTTGCACCTAGTATAGCATTTGAATTCGTTAACAAATTTTTTATTGAGCTTTTATGTGCCAGGCGTGCCCCAGTCCACAGGGAGTATCCAGACTCATTAATGTAAAGAATAATCGCTTTCTGCTTATTGAACTGAGTTAATTTTGCTAGTTGTCCCAAATAGTTCTATTAATCCTGTAAGCACTTAGGTTAAATACATCCAATTTTTCAGTTTATGTATATATATATTATGTTCTACTTAGCTTCATCTAATTTAGTAAAACATTAAAATACTAGTTTATACTTTCCACTAAGGAACATGACTGCCCTCTACTGTTTGGGTTGGGTACTCTACTGGGTTTCATGAGCTTAAGCTCATTTTGAGAATGAGGCTTTATAAAAAAGCTTTTACAGTAATGCTGCTTTTAAAACATTGTTTTGACACAAGGACAGATGGAACTGTTTGGTGGTTACCAGGGGCTAGGGAGGTGGGGGGTGGGCACAAGTGGTGGAGGGATGCACTTATATGGTGACTGATAAACAATAATGTACAACAAAAATTTCACAATAAAAAAAATGTAACAACAAAAAAGAAATAATCCTCCGGAAAAAAAAATAAAAAATTGTTTTGATTTTGAATGCTAGTCTAACATTGCTGTCTATTTTTGGTGATTTTTTTGTGATGAGGAAATTGTTGAGTTGTTGACTTCTAGTGCCTAGTGCAAAATAGCTTGCTTAGCGTTGCCTGCTCATAAATTCCCTAAGCCAATTTAAGTCCCTTTTGGAATAGGTAGGGCATAAATAAGTAATCCTAGAAATGGAATAAGTTGGTTGTATTCTTCCTAATTAGTATATTTCCTTTATAAAAAATAACTAGCTTTAGTAGATCTGTGGTTTTTAAAAGTTTATTGAAAAACAGCAGGCTCCCCCATCTTTTTTTTTTGGCCCAAAGAAATCTTATGTGGAATCCTGGTCTATAAAATAATTGTTTCTCTGGTTAATACCACTCTAATGTCGGAAGTATCTTTTGGGCTCCTGAACACAGTTTGAAAACACTGTATTAGATATCAGTGCTAGGTTAGTTTCATAGTACTATTGTCAGTAGTGCTATGTCATTTATTAACTTTTTGTTAATAAATGTAATCTTTTGATTCTTTAAGTCTTAAAAAGTAATGGAATCTTCTGATCCTGAGATAAGGTTTATTCTTGTGTGTGCAAATTTTAGCCATGTTCTTGTTTTTTTCCCCCAAGTTAAAGAGGAAAAAGCAAGTTGCTCCAGAAAAACCTGTAAAGAAGCAAAAGACTGGTGAAACTTCAAGAGCCCTGTCATCCTCCAAGCAGAGCAGCAGCAGCAGAGATGATAATATGTTTCAGGTAAAGTTGGCTATTTCCTTAGATCCAGAGGAGTTATTATCTGGCTTGATCTGAAGAATGTTAAAAGTATACCTTAATCTGATAGTAGATAATAATGTTTTATATATGTTATAATCCTCTTGAATAAGGATATTCATTGAAATGTAAGAACAAGTTAGTAGAAATTAGAGTAATTTATATGATGCTAGATTATTGTTAAAGTCTAGAAGTCTGTAGTTTTGCTATACGTAAAAAAATGTGAATTTAGAAGTTGAAGAAATCCAAAAAGATTGAGAACTGCACATTTAGAAAGCAGTTTGGAGGAGGTAGGTTAGTACTGGGCTGTGAAGAATGGATAGGATATTATTGGAGGGGAACCAGCAATATGATTTGCCTAGTTTTGACTTGATAAGAACAGAAAAGGATGTACACCTGAAGTTTATACAATGTTATAAACCACTGTTACTTCAATAAACAAAAAATTAAAAATAAAATAAAATGAAGGAAAATGCTTACAAAAAAGAACAGAAAAGGCTAGTGGGTTTACTAGAATAGGCCCTCTGTTTCTATATAGTGGGGAATAAGGTTGAAGAGCAAGGTAAAGTGAGGGAAGTTCATTAGAGGGATTTGATGAGATCGCTTGGAGAGGACTAGTATAGCTTCTTTTCTTGGGTTTCTTACCTTGTTTTAGGGAGACTTGTTATTGGTTTCATTGTACAAGAAGGATTTGTGGAGAGAGGCAGTGGGGATAAATGGATGTATGTGAGATCTCAGGTCATTGTAGACCTTGATCTCTCTGTGAGGTGGTGAAGGCTTAGATGGTTTTTCCCAAAGAAGAAATAGGTGAGGAAGAATGGGCTAGAGGAAAGAAGCAATCAATGAAGGCTGGTTTTAAATTGGAGAGACCATAGAAATGAAAGTTTCATTGATAGAAATGAGTAAAAGAAATTAGTTTTAATGGCAAAGGTTGTTAAGTTTGGCATTTTGGACCTGGTTATAAATTTGATAAAATAAGAAGAGTCTCTCCTATAGCACTTGAAGGGCTTGGTTGGGAAATGTTCTCAAGGGATCATCAACGTGGTTGACTGAAGCCTTCTGCCGAAGTAAGTGTAAAGCAGAGAGAAGAGGTGACTGAGGACATTCAGGAAGGAAGGAAAAAGAGGATATAGAGAATGTGAAGGAAAATAGAATGGTACAGTAATGGGAACAAGAAAAGGATGAGTGTTTCAAGGAGGAGGCATAAGTATTAGTTGAAGCCAAAATGTTGGACAGAATGAGACTGCAAGCATTTATTTGACTAGACAGTGAGGCTAGCATATATATGTATTTTGTTGATTTTTTTGGTGAAGAAGATTAGCCCTGAGCTAACATCTGTTGCCGGTCCTCCTCTTTTTGCTGAGGAAGATTGGCCCTGAGCTCACATCCATGCCCATCTTCTTTAATGTGGGACGCCTGCCACAGCCTGGCTTGATAAGAGGTGCGTAGGTCTGTGCCCGAGATCCAAACCTGTAAACTCTGGGCCGCTGAAGCGGAGCGCACGAACTTAACCACTACGCTACCAGCCGGCCCCTTATATATATATGTGTGTGTATATATATATATATATATATATATGTATACATATATTTATATATGTATACATATATACACACTATTATTTTTTTTTTAACCTACTGATGGCCTTAAAAGACAGTGCCAGGATTAAGATGGGAATGGGAAAATAGAAGTTGGATATTTTTAATCACTTTTGCCTTGTATGTCTGGATAAAGAAAATGGGCACATGATGACTATACTTAATACTATATCGAACACTGGAAATATGCTAAGAGTAGATTTCAGGTGCACTGATCACACAAAAAATGGTAACTGTGAGGAGCTGATAACGTTAATTAGCTTGTGTAATCATTTCCCTATGAATATGTGTATGAAATGTTGTACACCTTAAATATATACATTTTTAAATTTAGAAATATGTAAAAAAAAAACAAAAAAGGACAAAATGCAGATGAATTATTTAGTTAAGGATTTTAGTCCCCTGACTTTAGTATGGCTTAGAGGAACTAGGACCATACTAGATTAATTTGATAGAGAACATAAGTCACTGTATGTAAGAAAGAATTATGAAAGGGCCCTCATTTCTTTGAATGGATAATAAGTTGAATGCTTTCTGTGTTTCATTCAGGCCTTGCTAAGTTCTGGGTATGCCGTGATGAACCAAGTAGATGTGGTCTGTGGTTTCATGGAATTTATGGGGATAAAAATTATATAGATAAAGGTGTATGTAATTAAAGTTACAAGGGCTGAGAAGTGAAAGTGTGGGTTATTATGAGAGAGAAAGTGTTCTGGGAATCTCTTTCTAAGGAATTGGCATTTGAAGCTTAAGTCATAAAGGAGGAGCCAGTCATGTGAAGTGTAGGGGAGAGGGAGGCATTTTCAAAGTATTGGAGAGAATTGTGCAAATACTTTGAAGTGGGAAAGAGCTTGGATTGTGCAGAGACTGTAAGCCTTGGGGCTGGAACCTAGAAAGTCTGATTGAGACTGTAGATAGAAGATCCAGTTGGTAAGGAGGGTGCAGGGCCTTCTTGGGAGGACATTTTTAGGAGTCTTGAGTTTTATTAAAGTGCATTGGGAAGCTATTTTAAGGGGCAGAATGAAATGTAAAATCTGCAAGAGAATATCCTTCCTTTCATAGCCTTTCTTCCTGTGTAGAATGAAGGGCTGCTTTGGAATATTTTAACTTAATATGTGCAATAAAGGTAAAAACTTGGAAGTATTTGCTTGACAACTATCTTGGACTTTTCTTTGATCAATTCTGTTTCACCGTATGCCTACCTTTACTTGTGTAATAATAGAGCATCTATGGCCTATTAATGGATTTTATCTTGCTGATTCAGCCCCTGATTTTACAAATAAAGCAGGACCCACATTTAGGGGTTTTATTCTGTTGGAGCAGTTTTGGGAAAACCAGATCTATTTTTAGGGGTTGTTATCTCACAGAAAAAGTGGGTTCACTTCTTAACCTTCATATGGAAAGGTTCCCAAGCCTCAGAAGGCTGTTAGACTCTTCACCCTTTTGAACGTGCCTCTAGCAGGAACATAAGCCTTATTTCCCAAGTGACTTTTCACAGTCCTAATAGTGTAGGCATTCTAAGAGATAATGAAATATTTAATTTTGTTGCCATCATAGCTTTTTCCTTGAAATGGTACTTTGGCCATAGAAAAATATTTGGTGATAGTACTGATTTTTTTATTGATTTAAGAGCACATTACAGTATATCTGTTACAGAATATAAAATGAGGACTTCATTTTTATTTGTAATAATGGTTTGATAATTTTATTAGAAAGATGGATGAAGGTTTGGGTTTTTGGAAGAAAAATCAGTTATCTTCATTGTGTTTTGTAAAGTTTTTTTTTTTTTTTAATAGGGTTATATATTTTCTTTAGTTTTCATTTACCAAGTGCCTTGAAGACAGCTCCCACAGAATGGAACTTTTTTAGACATTGCTAGAATCTTTCAGGACTCAGATTATCAGGTATACTTTGCCAAAAACAAATACAACTGAAATCTAAATTAAAATTATTTGGGTATTGGTTAGTAGCCGTAAGACAGGATTTTTTTTTTTTTCCCAAACTAAATACTCATCTCTTGAGAATAGAACTAGAAGAAATAATCTTCAATTCTGGTAAAGCTGCGTATGTCAAACAGCAGCAGCTCTCTAAATGTAATATGTGAGGAGAATTGTACCCAAGGAAAGTCACTGCACTAATCTTTTAAACTCTAAAATGATTTAGACAGAATCCTGACTAGAGAGGAAATAGCTACTGGATACTTGCCTTTTGCCTGGTTCCTTCAGCTGTGAATTTTAAGAACTTGGTTCCATAGGGATATAACCTAACTGAGATAGGACCTATGTGATACTAAGATGGCCTAGAAAACTATCTCGTAATTACTTAGTATCTGTCTTAAAAAGGTCAGAATGGTCGAGGTAGGGGACTTTTATGCATTTTTCTTCAAAGGTGGACACAAAGGGTCAGTAATATCACCTTAGTTGATTTGGTGATTCAAGAATAAAACATAATTCTAAATTATGTCATTACAGAGTTAAGTGTTCCTAACCTGAGGGGTTCATGAATATACTTCAGGGAGTCCATGAAATTATTATTTTTTATTTGAATTTTTTTGTATTTAGAGAGATTATTCATTACCGTCATCACATCGCCAAGAGGACAAGAGTCAAAAGTTTAAGAATCACTGTTCTGTATGATGTACATGCATATGCATGTAAAACTATATGCATTCTGTTATCCGATTCTATTTCCTTCTGTGACATGTGATTGCAGTGATGTTTATTCTTTCTACTTTAAGTATTATAGCCATACATTACTACCTCATCATTTTTCTGTTTTTTTTGTTGTTGTTGTTGGGGGAGGGTGTGGGAATTTGTGAGCTTTATTCATTCTTCTCAAGGAAGAAGTGACTGCTGGGTAAATTTTTCTTTCTCTCTTCTTTTTTTTTTTGTGAGGAAGATCACCCCTGAGCTAACATCCATGCTAATCCTCCTCTTTTTGCCGAGGAAGACTGGCCCTGAGCTACTGTCCATGCCGATCTTCCTCCACTTCATATGGGACACTGTCACAGCATGGGCTGACAAGCGGTGTGTTTGTGTGCGCCCAGGATCCGAACCCTGGCCGCCAGCAGTGGAGTGCGCGCACTTAACTGCTACGCCACGGGGCAGGCCCCAAGTTTTTCTTTTTTTAATGAACTTTATTGAGATATAATTTATATACAGAAAAATGCACACACAGCATAATGTGATGCGCTGTGATAAATGTGCACACTCTTATAGTGAGGCCATTTCTGTCACCCCAGAAAGCTCTTTCTTGGCCTCTCCTTACAGTCGTCCCCCTATCCCAGGTAACCACTAATCTGGTTTCTATCACTATGGATTTATTTTGCCTGTTCTAGAACCTCGTATAGGTGGAATCATACAGTCGGTATTATTTTATGTCTGATTTTTGCTCACCATAAAGGTTTGGGATCAATCCTTATGCAAGTATCTGTAGTTCGTCCCTTTTAATTGCCGAGTGTAATTATTGTATTATACTACAATTTGTTTATCCATTCACTTTGGATGAATGTTGGGATTGCTGCTATGAATATTCCTGTACAAGTCTCTTTGTGGGCATTTTTTTCCTTTTGGGTAAATAACCAAATGCGTTTGCTGGGTCATAGGCTAAGTGTATGTTTAACTTTATAACAAACTGTCAAACTGTTTTCCATAGTAGCTATACCATTTTACGTACCCACCAGCAGTGTATGAGATTAAAATTGCTCCACATCCTTACTGGGTATAACTATTCAGTCTTTTTAATTTTATCCACTTTAGTTAATGAATGTGTAGTTGTAGCTCATTGTAGTTTCACTTTGCATTTCCCTATATCTTTTTCTGGAGATCATCTGCCCATTAAAAAAAAAAAGAAGAGGTCATTTGATTTGAGTTGTGCGAGTTCTTTATATTTTAGGTATAAGTCTTTTGTCAGATAGAGTAGTGAATATTTACTCTAGGTATGTGGTTTGCCATTTTATTTTCTTAAGCATCTTTAAAAAGCTTTAATTTTAAGTCCATTTTTATCAATTTTTTCCTTTTTTGGTTAATGCTTTTTGTTTCCGAAGACATATTTCTTTATCCCACAGCCACAAAAATTTTGCCAGTGTTTTTTTCCTAGAGTTTTTATAGTTTTAACTTTTCATGTTTAGTTCTGTGATCCATGTAAAATTAATTTCTCTGTGTATGGTGTGAGATAGGGGTTGAGACTCATTTTCCCCCCATACAGATACTCTGATGTTCCAATACCATTTATTGAAAAGATTGTTCTTTTCTCATTGAATCACCTTGGATCTTTATAAAGAAAATCAGTGAATATGTAAAATATGTGTCTAATTTTGAACTCTATTCCGTTGATCTGTATGTCTGTCTTTACTCTAGTACTGCACTGTCATAACTGCTATGCTTTTATAGTCAGTCTTGAAATCAGGTAGTGTAAGTCCTTTAACATTATTCTTCACTTTCAGAATTATTTTTGCTATTCTGTGTATTTTGTATTTCCATACACATTTTAGAATCAGCTTGTCAGTTTTTACCAAAAAACCTACTGGGATTTTGATTGGGGTTGGGTAGAGCTGAAGACCAATTTGAGGAGAAAGGCAACTTGAGTATTGAGTCTTCCAGTTCATGAACATGATTTTCATCTTTTTGAATTTCTGTTTTGTAATTTTCATTGTGGAGGTCTTGTACATCTTTTGTTTAGTTTATTTTTAAGTATTTTGTGTTTTTTGATTCTGTCGTAATTGTATTGTTTCTTAACTTTGTTTTCCAGTTGTTTATTGCTAGAAAAATATGGATAGTATTACATAATACAATGTAAATATACATAAGATTATATTATGTATTTACTTTATATATTTATAATATATGTTACAAATGTATTTTTTAGAGACCTCTTAGAACTTGCTGTGTTGATGATTTTGTCTGTTGTGTTTTACATCATCCTTTAATTCTTTTTCTTGCTTTATTGCTAGTATTTCCAGTACAGTATTGAAAAGAAATGATGAGAGCAGACTTTGCCTTGTTCCTTATCCTAGGGGCAAAGCATTGTTCTAACTCTCTCCTTCTAATGCTACTATTGCTTAAACTCTGGAATGAATGTCTATAATGCTGTGGTTTTGCTGCTTCGGGATGGGAGTATGAAAAGTCATGGGATAAACATGATGTATTTTTCTGTCGGGCCCATCTTATTTGGAGATGTGCGTTAAAACTTTTTATGCTAAAAGGAACACTGATATATTGAAGGATAGTATACAAAATGCATGGTAAGTTTTAGGTTACAACAAGAGGCTCAGATTTTGGTAGAGCAGCGTTTAGCCTGTGTCCCCAGATTTTCCTTTACTTCTAGCCCCATAGCTCTTTGGTGCTGGTGTTCTTTGAAATATTGTTACCAAATTTTAGAGTGTCAGTTTACTGACCTATACCTTTTCTCTACTTTGAATAATTTCTTATTTAATATACATCAAACACAAGTTATTTGAAAAATGATTAGAGACTTCAAATTGTAAATTCGCAGTTTTGGATATGTGGATACTCAGCCATGTTTGGGAGGAAGAGAATGCTTCTTATATTCATATGAAGCAAACCAAAATATTGATAGACACTTCATTGGAATTGTGGATGAGAGAGCTTCTATGTTTCTATGGAGCAAGGGTAGAAATTAAAGTAGCCAGCTAACTGTTCGTTATGTGTTTATTATACCATGCTCTTTACATAAAGTAATTGAGTACTTGTTATTACTAATTTAAGACTGGTAAAATGCTGTTAATGTGGTTGTCTCTCTTTTTAAAAATGGGTTTGCTTTCAGTCTTGATTTTTAACATTTTTTCTAGTGAGATTTTAAAGTTGTAACTATTTTCAGGTTTCATATTTCTCAGGAATATGAACCTTGCAGAAGAGAATAGTAGTAGTATTTTTCTGCTTCTGTTTTTTTTTTTTGTCCTTAGTCCGAGAAGCTGTAAAGGCTTCAGAATTCTCTTACTAGCTTTTCAAGTCCTCTTCAGTATAGCTTCATCTATTCAGCCTGTCCTTGAATCTCATCAGTTTTGTATCTTTCTGCTTTCTTCCTCCTATATCCTTGTTACTTTTTTCTCCCTTTTACTTATTTAATGGCCTGTCATTTTTCAAGGTCAAATCCCACCACCTAAAGTCTTTTCCACTTGCTCAAGCCCACACTGAACACTTATTTGACTTATCTAATTAATATTATTTTGGTAGGTTTTCAATATATTTTAATTTTATCTACTTAGCTAGCTGATGGGCTTAGTGTAAAAAACAAAATGAAACAATGTTCAATTTAGTGCTATAGCTGTCTAAGATACTTATAAATTTCTTAGAGTTGTTAAATCAATATTATAAATACTATCAGCAGTTTCATTTTGATTATTTTGGTCTTATTCAATTCCTCCATTAAAACAGTTTACTGGGAACCCAGTATGATACACACTAGGGGATCCAAAGAAGACTGATTGAAAAATAAGCTATTAAAACTGACAGTAAGATCAACTTTTAGAGTAGGCAGTGGGAATTTAATTAGTAGAAACAGCAATTCTCTCCTTTCAAAATTTACCAATAAAGGGAAGAAGGAAACACGGGGAAAGTTACAAAATGCAGATTAGGGAAAATGCTTTATAGAAAGGTGAGAATGAACGTGTTTGGAAACGGTGGGTAAGAAACCAACGGAAAGGGAAAGAATGCATATGCAACAAATGGGATACAAAAGGTAAAGAACTTAAGAATGATGACGATCTGGGTAAGTACAGAGAAGAGAGATTTGAACGCACTTACCCGTACCTAATGGACTTTATTTTCATAAAGCATGAGCATGTCCTGGAAGGAGGGGGGACAACAACAGGACAAGAAATTTACTGAGAATAGTAAAGTAAAGGAAAATAAGTAAGACCTAACTGAGACAAGAAAAAGCAGTCTAAGAGGAAGGATGTAGACAAGATGGAAGCCAAAAAGCAGTGTTGATAAGCACAACTTTGATTGTACTACAACAATACTTGATGTCCCAATAAAATGGATTATTTAATAATCAGAGGACCCCGGTCGGTAGGGAAAGGAATGTGACTAAACGCAGAACCTTTACGGGATAATGTGTTTTAATCACAAAAATCGTAGCTAGTTTTAAGTGGGTAAGATTGAGGAGTAGGTTTAGAATGAGTAAGAGATAGGCAGAGGTGTTAGAGGTTTTGATCAGAAAGTGTGATTTCTTAGTTTAAGTTCTAGACACTACATTACAGCAGCATAAGACATCCTGGAAAGTGCTTACAGACACTTCGTCGGCTAAAGCCTTTTCCTTCTCCACGGAATTTGTAGTTTGTGTTAAGCAGCATTATAAGGTTTTAAAAATAGCTTTCTGTGGATGATTCTCAATTTGAGACTGAATGAAGTGTATTAAAGATATTGTTGGAAATGAATGTCTAAAAGGAAAACCTTTGTCATGTTACTATTGACTGGAACTCTGGATTCTTGCGTTCAGAATGGTTGCTAAACCAATGTAGCTAGCTGAGTCTGTGGATTCCTACGGTTATGATATGTACCGCAAGATTTTGTTTTCTAATGATTTTTATTTGGTGAAAAACACTTCATATAAACTTGACCATCTTAACTATTTTTAAGCACACAGTAGTGTTAAGTATGTTCACATTGTTGTGAAACAGATCTCCAGAACTTTTTCATTTTGGAAAACTGTTAAATAACTGCTCCCCTTTTCCCCTTCCCCCAGCTGCTGGTAACCACCATTCTACTTTCTGTCTCTGAATTTGACTACTCTAGGCACCTCATATAAGTGGAATCATACAGTGTGTATCTTTTTATGACTGGCTTATTTCGCTTAGCATAATGTCCTTAAGGTTCATTGATGTTGTAGCATGTGATAGGATTTCCTTCTTTTTTAAGGCTGAATAATATTTCATTGTACGTATATACCACATTTTGTTTATCCATTCATCTGACGATAGACATCTGGGTTGCTTCCATCTCTTGGCTATTGTGAGTAACACTGCTGTGAACATGGGGGTGCAAGTAAATAACTCTCCAAGACCCTGCTTTCATTTTTTTTTTAGATATATACCCAGAAGTGGGGCTGCTGGAGCATTGCTGGATCATATGTTTGTTCTATTTTTAATTTTTTGAGGAACCTCCGTACTGTTTTTCTTAGCAGTTGCACTATTTTACTCATGATTCTTTTAATGTAAAAATGATTGGAAATGTGTGATGTGCTTTGTTTAGTTCCATCTTTTTAGAAAGATTTCTTTTTAACAGTGACATTTCCTTTGGTGTAGTTTGGATATTGAGAATAGTGGTTATTTTCGTGATTAAAAGTAGAATGAGTGCAGCAAGTTGTGAATATAAGTATGGGCACCGTTGTTGAATATCTTTTTATGTTTTTGTTTCTTTTGCAGATTGGGAAAATGAGGTACGTCAGTGTTCGGGACTTTAAAGGAAAAGTCCTAATTGATATTAGGGAATATTGGATGGATCCGGAAGGCGAAATGAAACCAGGAAGAAAAGGTGAGATTTAATTTCCTGAATTTGGTCCTAATATTGGGATTAAATTAAAAATTATCTAAGTAAACCTACCTTATTTGAAATTGAAATAATGTTGGCAGTGCATAGGGCATGGAAGATCTTCATTTAGTTGATTATCTTCTGTAGTTTTTTTGGACGTGACAATTAATTTATTTTAATGAGATGTCTTAAATATAGCTGTCGGAATAAAACCCAGAAAAAATAATACCCCTAATATCACTTCAATTGGCTGCTAATTTACTTGAATGTAACTTTTTTTTTTTAAATTTACACCAGTTCTGAAGTAGAGTAGGCACTATCTGGGAAGTTGTAAAATCAGGAATGGAAAATCCTGTTTACGGTGTCTCCTTTTGGTTCATCTCCTAAAGGATAATCTTCAGGGTGGTATCCTTTAAGTGTGGTTTTTGTGCTTCATCTGGTCCCAAGCCTGTCACCGTCATTGGAACATACTTTAATCATTCACCAAATAGCTAGAGAATATTTGTGTACTAATATAAACTCATATATTTGTGTGGTTAGCTTGCTTTGGGTTTATCCTTAGCTAATGAAAAATGCCTCCTTATTTTACTTCTATTCTACCTGCATGTCATTATGAAAGGTACCACTTGTTTGCTTCCTGCAGTTTTTGGGTTTATTAAACTTAACCTCTGTATGTTTTTATACCCTATAACATTTTCTTGTTCAAGCCACTTCTGGATTGGTCATTGAAGTTGTTCCAGTGTGGCCAGTGCCGGATTTCTTTTCTTATTGCTACAAACGTTCATTAAAACAATTTGATTAGCTTTAAAGCCCTTTCTACACATTGTCCCAATACATTCTCCTCCTTCCTCTCAATTTCATGGCCTCTCAGTAGTTTTCTGAGAAATACATGAATTCTTCCACTTCTAGTTTATTTCTGTTTATATGTGTCAGGTATCAGAACACTGAAAGTTTAAAGTACAAGGTGCTTTTCTGTTCATATTTTTATATCTTAAATAGGAAAGACATGTTATTAGCTAACATTTTAAATGGTTACTTATGTGTCAGGTGATATGCTAAGCTTTTATTCAGATTAGCTAATTTCATCATTCACAACAGCCGTTTGAGTTATAAGTACCATTGTACTGGTGAGGAAACTGAGGCTTAGAGGTAGTGTAATTTTTTTAAAGGTCTGCAGTTAGTGCTAGTGATGTTGGGGTTTGAATCCTGACAGCGTGACCCCAGAAAGCACTCTCATTCAGTATGTACATTCTAAGAAGTCCTGTATGGATCACGTCCCAGGGGTTTTTCTGAAGTGAAATGAATACCTCTGGAAGAACTCAGCACAGAGTCATTCACCTTGAGTTCCTGGGGAAATTTTGAGCAAATTTTGGAATGAACTGGTTGTAGAAATGGGGTCTCACATACCAAATCTGGGGCTGGCCACTTAGTCTGCTAGTTTGCAAGCATTTATGAGATTCGTCTTGAAATCATTGCTTGTTCTCACTGGGTATAATAGACATTTATGGGGGTGCAGTGTTGGAAGTAAAACTGGATATAACATTGATCTGCTCAGGTATATTTGTGATTTATCTATAATTAACAAATGTAAGAGATTTGACTCTTAATATTGTACCATTAAAAAACGGGAATTTTGAGGGGCCGGCCTGGTGGCATAGTGAAGTTTGCCTGCTCTGCTTCGGCAGCCTGGGGTTCACAGGTTTGGATCCTGGGCGCGGACCTACGCACTGCTTACCAAGCCATGCTGTGGCAGGTGTCCCACATATAAAGTAGAAGAAGATGGGCATGGATGTTAGCTCAGGGCCAATCTTCCTCAGCAAAAGGAAAGAGGAGGGTTGGCAACAGATGTTAGCTCAGGGCTAATCTTCCTCACTGAAAAAAAAAAAAGGGGGAATTTTGATAGAGTAGTATTATAGTTGGAAGTATGAAAATTCTCAGGAAAGCTTAAATAGATTTTCAACTTTTGATTTTTAAAACTTTGTTTTAGGTATTTCTTTAAATCCCGAGCAATGGAGCCAGCTGAAGGAACAGATTTCTGACATTGATGATGCAGTAAGAAAACTGTAAAATCAGAGCCATATAAAACCTGTACTGTTCTAGTTGTTTTAATCTGTCTTTTTACATTGGCTTTTGTTTTCTAAATGTTGTTTTCCAAGCTGTTGTATATTTGGATTGCAGAACAATTTGTAAGATGAATACCGTTTTTTTTAATGTGCATTATTAAAAATGTTCTGAGTGAAGCTAATTGTCAACTTTATTAAGGAGGATTGTCTTGTGCCCACCACCTAGTGTAAAATAAAATCAAGTAATACAATCTTAACTGTTGTGGCCTTCTTTGATCAGAAGAGTTGGTACTGTGTAAAAGGCCAAAAGTAACAGTTGATAGACCTTTAGTTTCAACTCAGCTTTTACATACAAAAGAATTTGTATTGCATTGAATTTAGTAACTTTTGATTTGTGAAATCCATAGTTGATCTGTTTTCTTCCAACCAAATGTCTAGACTTGTTTTTCCACCTCAGTAATATTTCACTTTCCCCTTTTTTTCTTTACTTCATTTTCCTTTAATAACTTACAATTGTCATATTCCGTTTTCATTTCACTTTTTACTCTTTTCCTAGAATATTATATTATGCTAATTTGAAAGTCACTGAAACTGTCAAAATGTTAGTTATCTCAATAAGGTACTTGTAATTAAAATATTATATGAGAACTACAATCACTAATTCTACTGTATTAAATATTAGGAGATATAGTTTGATAAACAACATGGCTTGTATGAAAACTCAGCAAGTAAGTATATATCATTACCTGTAGTGTTCTGTGTAGCTGTTATCTTATTGCTTAGTCTGCAGAAAATAATGAACTAGATGTCTGATTTGCTTTCACTTATTAAACGTGTTCGCCATGGGATGATGTCTGTAGAATCAGATATCAGATATTGTTAAATTAGACTAGGATTTAATAAAAATTGTGAAAGCTTATTGGCTTAACATTTTATTTTGTAACATTGGGTATGAATCATATATAGCCAGAGATATCACTGAGCTTTACTGTCATAGTAGGTATTGTGGTCAGGTTTTAGGGGAAAGAGCATTTAGAGTATACACTTGTGTTTTTCGGCCTTTGCTTCAGTAGGCTAGGTTCTTCTGCAGTTCATCTACTGGACAATGGCATTCTAGACTTGATGTTGCTAAATATTAGCAGGCATTCTGAAGGTGATTTTCATGGAACCGTAATGATGAAGCAGACACAGATTGAGGCACAGATTTCAGGGGTTTTGCAGCAATAAATAGGGCATGGTGTGCCTTAGGAAAAGAATGTGAGGGAACTGTAACTGAAATTAAAGAAGGCAGTGATGAGGAAGGAATTCTCTTCAAACTAAATGATAACACTTGATATTTTGAACACATTGATAGGACACAATTCTAGATAGAATAGTAGAAAGAAAGGTTTAAAGTCGTAAAAAATTCTGTTGACAAATTATTTTTGGTAGGTATTCTCAAATGGTTACTGGCGTGTCAGAGAGTTGCACTATTATACCAAGTCGGGTTACCACATCTAAAACATTTTATAGGAGAATTGTGAAGGACTTGATTTCAAAACCATCTGCCAGGCCACATAGAGTTATCAATTTTTTTTCTGGCAGATATTCTGTTTTAAGTATTTTTTTACATTTTTTAGATGATTTTTTAGTGTTTTTTAGCAGTAACCCTAATAGGTGCATAATTGGGGAATTAAAGAAATCCTCTCTTCTGGTATTTTAGCCTTCATCAAATAATAGGTACCAAAGTGTTCAAAATACATATTTTATATAAGTCATATAATCGATAACTTTCCCTTAGTTGGGAACATATGTGTCCTATTAATTGGGTAGATTTGTAAAGTATTCCTTATATATTCAGAAAGGGTAGTTAGAATACAGAACTTTGATATTGGTGTAGATGAAGAGGGAATAATGGGTAAATTTCCTAGGTTTATATGAATTTAGGGAGTGTATGCAGAAACAATCTAATATAGAGATGGTGCTGAAATCTATTACCTAGGCATTTTCTAGTTTTTTAGCACCGTGTTGTTAAAACCTTCATATAAGGAGTGTTTCTCTGGCAGAATTCGGTAAGTTGACTGCTAAATTCATTTAAATATATTATTGGATATGCTGCAATATATAGAAATTATTAATCTTTTGTGTGTGTAGGAAAGGATGAGAACTGGGCTAAAAGAAGAGACAAATTAACTTGTACTGAAAAGAAAAGACAGTGTACTTTTGTTTTCTGCTTAAACTTTATCTTCTTGGTAAAATTTCTTCCAGGAAGAAAGCTTGGCATTTTATGGCAGCAGTTTCTTACCTTGTGATACCAAAATGAATTTAATTAATGCCAGCCCTTGAATGTACTTGGTAGCAGGGCTTTCCTAATGGGTTTTTCTCTTTGTCTTTTAAAGTACAAGCAGCATTTGACCAATTTCCAGTGCTCTTGGCATTTTATTTAAAGAAAACCACTAAAAAAGAAAAACTCTTTATAATTTGATTATTCTCTTTTGCTTTGCTTCATAAATGCCTAAGAACTTCTTTTGAAGAATACTCCTACCTCATTAGCTAGTCAAGATGCTGTGATGATTAACCTATTCTACAAAATGTGTTTTGAAAAAAAGACTTAGGGAAAAAAGTATGTACATCCTGGCTTGGCTATTGAGGGGAAAAGAGAAAGAACTGAGTATTAATTATTTAAAGTGTTCTTGATGGAGGTATGTTAGAAGAGTACTTTGAAAGTTTGAAATTTTTAAAAGTGCTGACTAATATTTAGGTATCTTTTCTGAAATTCTTTGCAACTTACTTTTTATGGAAATTAATCCAGTGAAACACTCAAAATTTTTTTTTTTAAGTGGTGTTTTTCCAGATAAACTCTAGGAGTAAAGATTCACATAGTCAAAAAATATGTAATTCTGTAATTGTGGAATACCTGTCTGCTTTGTTTGGTACCATCTTCCACGGAGATGTCAATGGATATAATACTGCATCTGTGAATATTTTAAATGTTGAAATAAAAGCAAGAAACGTGCCCTATGTGTCATCCCAGTTTCACAGACCTGAAGATGAATGGCTCAGTTATCTGTTGATTGGGTTTTATTAACAGAATAACTTCCTGTGTGAATGCTTTGGAATGGGATGAGCCTTGGAGTGAGTGTTAAATTTTCTGAAGATCTTTGGAACTGGGTGGTGTGGGCCCGTGTTTTCTATCTACCTGATCCAAAATGGAAAAATGTAAATACTAAGATGGTATACAGTCTCTTCTTTTTCTTTATCCTTTGGGTGCTTTGCAGTCTGATTGATTCTTTGTATATTTAACTGTATAATGGACTCCTTTGGGTATTTCAGACTTACATTTTCATTTATAAAATCTCTATTTTTCCCTTCTTGTTTAGTACTTCTGCTTAGTTATATACAGCAAAGCACTGCATAACGAAATTTCAGTCAGTGATGGACCACATACACGATGGTGGTCTCATAAGATTTGTACCATATAGCCTAGGTGTGTAGTAGGCTATACCATCTGGGTTTGTGTAAGTACACTCTATGATGTTCACACAGTGATGAAATTGCCTAACAATGCATTTCTCAGAATGTATCCCCATGGCTAAGCAATGCATGACTATATATATATATATATGCTAGCTTCACTTTCTGGTCAAATATTTGCAGTCTTGGTCTGTCCAACATTTTGGTTTCAACTAATACTTAATGCCTCCTCCTTGAAACAGCTATTCTTTTCTTGAGATCTCTCATTGTTTAAATTTCAGTTTAGCAAAACTTAACATAGTTATAGAAAGATCCATGGAAGGCTACGTATGACTCTTTATTTTGTTCACTTAACTGTAATTTTGCTTTTTTTTTTTTTAAGTAAAATATAGTGACTCAAAAATCCAGTCAAGAAGAAGAAAATAATAGTACTTGGAGTTTATACAATTAATCACTGACTTTACAATTTTGTAGTATGGCTCAAAGGGGTTATGAGATAGAACAAAGGTTTGAAAAGCATGAAACATTTAAAAAATTATGTGGAATTATTTCTGGTATAACAGTTCATCCAAGATTTATGTCCATCTGAGTAAAAGATCTTGCTACATAGGACTTTTTCCCCCACTCTCTTTATGTAAGTCCATACAAGAGTTCAGACCTGCTTTTACAGCCATTTTAGTCCTGGATTAACAGTGACCTACTGGTTCTGACTAAAGTGAAACACTCCTGTCTCTCTTATTTCACTCTTAGGCTCTTGATAGAGAGTTTAAGTAGTTTATCTTTCTGCTCGATAACGGTAACTTGGAAATGATTTAGGCTCCTTCCTTTCTCTAAGTCTGCCAGAAAAAAAAGCACCCTGGATTTCAACAGCTGGATACATAACCTCCCTTGGTAACAAAAACGCTGTATACAAGGTGCTTCTCCTACCATCCAAGTCAGAACTTAATGTAAACTTGTGTGTAGTAGCTCATGAATCTTGAAAAGTGATGTGAAGTTCCAGTTGGCCCTCTTCTAATTAAGTCCGAGTCTTCTAATTCTCCCTGGCTTTATTTCCCAAACTACGTGCAATAAACATGTAGTTGCAAGAATGGTACAGAGAACTCATTCAAATGTTGCCAGTTGTTCCAATAATGTCTTTATAGCAAAAGCTTCCAGCCCCTTTGATTGTGTCTCTTTAGTCTTCAGCCTGACACAGTTGCTCAGTTTTTCCTTAACTTTTATAACCTTGACATAGCTGAAGATTTGGTAATTCATAGGTCATTGGTGGTGTTGACAGCGGTGGCGAAGGCAGAGGCCGGTTTAAGGAGGAGTGGAGACTTAGCAGCGTGGTTGTGAACCATAAAGAGATAGTGGCTGTGTGGCTGGAACAGTGCAACATCTAAGTGACAGCGCAGAGTTGGCTGCATTCAGTATGTGTTTAAATTGACCTATGGTATCAGCTACAATTTCAGTCACTTCCCACTTTTGTTTTCTGGTGACTTCTTCCTGAGTGCCACCTGAACCATGAGTGCTTTTAATAGCTTTAAAGAAAAAATTGATACCTAGTTTACGTCATTTTAACATTATGGATATGATCATTTTGGTTCTCAAACCACTTTCCCCTCCTACAGCTGAGCTTCTCAAGTTGAGACCACGGGCTTGTCCAACTTGCCATTTGGGCGGCTGTGCAGTCGTGCTTGGTGCATGAGCCAGTCACGAGCCTCTTGTTTTTTGTATTGGAGGCATGAGCTCTGTTGCCTCTACTTACTGTTGGCCTTGGAAAATGAAAAGGAGAAAGAACATTTGCATTTATTCACACTTGAATGATACAAAAGGAAAGAAGGGTGGTGGGAAGGTATATGGCAGAAATCTGAGTATTTCAAGGAATTTGAGGATTTCAGCCCTCAATCCAGGATCTAAAGTATCTCCTGGCATTCAGGTTTGAAGATTAATCCTTAATCGAAAAATAATTTCAGAAGCCCTGTGGTTTTCCTTAAAATTGTTTATTCAGAACCAAAGGTCTTTTGATATCCAGGCACTCAAATAGGTCTTTTTCTGATCTTTTTTTTTCTGAATATGAGGAAATGCTTCTTACTCACCATGGAGTCATTAATTGGTAGGCAGAGAAAGCTCTTAGAAACAATTGAGAACATTTTCAACACATTGAAGTCCTGTAGTGATGGTTCTGGAATTTTTAAGTAGAAAGGAAGCTATTATTTGCTGTAAAGAGGTATTCAAAGCAGTGTTGTCAGCAAGCCACTTCCATGAGAAAACGGACTCCCAAAGGTTGAGGAGTATGCTAACTTGAAAAGGAATTTAAAAAATGCATTGAAGTCTGGGTTTTGCAACCTTTCCAACTCTAGCAATCTCCAGGGGGAAAAGAAACCTCTAGAGTACTTTCTTTCCTATAAATATTGAAAAGAATTTGGGTTAGAGTCTTTGATGTTTGGAAAGTTTTTATCTTAGAAAGGCAGAAGCACTGTGTGC